GGTCGCTCCACGTTGTGTTAAAATGGTCAAGCATCCTCGAGGCAGTTACACAGTGCTTACAATTGTCTCTGGAAGTGAAAGCACCAGAAAATAAATTTAGTCATACGCAGCTGTCATCCGTACGCAAGGAAGTAAGCACAAGATGCCGAACACCCTTAGCAGGATGCAGCTCACCCTTCATGCGACCCGCCGAACACCTCACGGCGCTTCGCGCTTAGTGATGTGAGAGCCTGGTCCGGTGAGAACCCGGCGTGCTCCGTCCCGGCTTTGTAGGGATGCGAGGCCAATGTTCTAACGACTACGGCATGCACGATTATGAGTACACCCCCCCTCAATCAAAAACAGATGCTGCACGACCTTCTGCCCTGGGAAACACCACCCGCCTCGGCGGTCTACTCGGGAGGGGGCGGGGGAGGAGCGGGAACTACCGGGGGCGCCGGCGGAGGGGGAGCCTGCGGCGACTTAAGCTCCTCTTCCGCCAACGCCGCCGCCGCCGCCTCCGGCGGAGGGGGGGGGGAGGGGACGTCTTCGACCTCGTCCCCTGGTTCTGATGACGGTTCGGCTTCGACTGACGGTCCCGCCGCGGACACGGTCCGAGGGGTGGCGTTTCTTCACCTGCACGGGAGGGATCTGGCGGAGGCGTGGGAGTGGGTGCAGCGGTACCAGGCGTGCAGGCGGGAGGCGGACATTCTGCAGGTGGGTGTGAATGTGGACATTCTGCAGGTGGGTGTGAATGTGGTGGTAGCGCTCTGGGCGTGTGGTTTGTGACGTATTGCTGTTGGTGATTATGGCGTGTGGTGGTTGTCTCTATGGACGTGCGTAGTAAAACAATTTTTTGTGTCCCTTGGTGTCTTGCTCTCTCTCTCAATTTGCCCGCCTTTTTATTTCTTTCTCCGTTGTTTGTTACTCCCTTCTCTCGCCGTCCGTCCCTCTCGCTCTCTCACTGCTTCTGTGTTCTCCCACCCCCTTAATTTATGTTGTATCCCCTGTCTGTCTATCTGTCTGTCTGTCTTTCTCTCTGTGTGTGTATCTCTCTCTCTGTCGCCGTCGGTCTCTCTCGCTCGCGCGGTATTGATCTCTCTACTCGCTCTGCGATACCCTGCAACAACACCACACTTGGAAGGCGTGGGACATCTACTACCATGTGTTCCGCAAGATTTCGCGGCAGCTGACGACTCTCAAGTACATCGAGCTTCGGCACGTGGCGCCGGCGCTGCCGCAGGCCAATGGCTTGCAGCTCGCGGTGCCGGGGACTTACCGGTGAGCTCACTGCTGCTGTTGCTGCTGCTGTTGCTGCTGTTGCTGCTGCTGTTGCTGCTGTTGCTGCTGCTGCTGCTGCTGCTGTTGCTGCTGCTGCTGTTCCTGCTGCTGCTGCTGCTGTTGCTGCTGCTGCTGTTCCTGCTGCTGCTGTTGCTGCTGCTGCTGTTGCTGCTGCTGCTGTTGCTGCTGCTGTTGTTGTTGCTGTTGCTGTTGTAGTGGTGTTGTTGTTGTTGTTGTTGTTGTTGTTGCTGTTGTAGTGGTGTTGTTGTTGTAGTGGTGTTGTTGTTGTTGTTGTTGTTGTTGTTGTTGTTGTTGTTGTTGTCGTGGTGGTGGTGGTGGCTGCTTTTTTTGTTGTGAAAGTGGATGTTGTTGTTGTTGTTGTTGTTGTTGTTGTTGTTGTTGTTGTTGATGTTGTTGTTGTTGTTGTTGTTGTTGATGTTGCTGTTGTTTTTGTTGGCGTTGTTGTTGTTGTATTGATGCTTTTGTTGTTGTTGTTGTTGTTGTTGTTGTTGTTGTGATGGCGGATGTCGTTGTTGTTGGTTCTGTTGTCGTCGCCGTCGTAATCGCCTTCGTCGTATTGGTCGTCAGATCTGTTTTTTTTTCTCGCTCCTACTCTTTTTGCCCTCGCACGCGTGCGTGAAACGCTTTGGTGGCATGCTCTCTCTCACACACCACGAAGGCGCACGAAAACGAGCTGAACTGAACTGAATCCGTCGTGGTCTTTCGCTGAGCAGGGCGCACGCAGACGTGGTTCGCATCCGGTCCTTCGCCCCGACCGTGGAGGTGATCACATGGTCCAAGCAACGCCCCCGAAGGATGACGATACACGGTGGTGAGTTAGTCGACAGTAATAGTGATTGTCGTCGTCGTCGTTGTTGGTGTTGCTGGTTAGTGCTGCTGCTGCTGCTGCTGCTGCTGCTGCTTTGGGTTTGCTCTCGAGGAACCGTTCTGAGGAACCGTTCTGAGAGCTCCACCTGGCTCTCGACAGCATTAAAACAGAAGCGCGGATGACCCCCTGTCCTCCTTGACGTCCTGATTTCTTGGTGAGTCAGCGGCGCACCCCCATCCCCACCCCCGTCTCCTTGACAATACTGGTTGCTAGTTGCTAGTTCAGTCAACAATCCCGCCCCCCCCATCTGTTTTTACCTCGGTTTTTTTTTTGGCGGTAACCATAATGGTGGTCGAGTAGATCATGTTGTGCGGGTTGGAGAAACCTCACTCCGCGCAACGGGGGATGATGGCACCACGTTGTGTTAAAATGGTCAAGCTTCCTCGAGGCAGTTACACAGTGCTTACAACTGTCTCTGGAAGT